TGCCCCCATGGCTGAAAGAGCAAGCATGTTTGATGTGACGGGGATTCAAATCCGCGACCCTCAGATTGCAAGTCGAGCACCTTAACCACCTGACCATGCTGAGCCCCAATAGTTATTGAGGAGTCTTAAGTTGCTTTGCTTTGTGAGCCTTCATCTTTTCTTGACTCTCCTCAGACATTCATGTTAATGTTGATGCTTTTCTGTCCCAACTATTTAACATGCTTGTATTGCATTACTTCCAAACCATGGCAGTTTCTTGTACTTCAGGCTTTGGCCTCACTCTGGTTGCCATTCTCCGCTACACATAGAGGATCTCCTGAGGTATATAGTTATTCGTCTTTCATTTTTAGCGATCACTCTTTGCCATTCTTAGTTCTCACTGTACTTCACCTCATGACAATAGAACCCACTGTATGATTGGTGTTGCCTCACAGGGAATAATTACCAAAATCTGCATCAAACAGTGAAGTATGAAAAAATGTTAAGCTCATCTGCCCCTGCTCAGTACTTGTTGTTGAGATGGGGCTTTCTGCAAGACTGCTTCTACAGTGTCTATGTATATTATATCTTCCAGGCTCTTCTGCATTTGACAAAAAAAAAAAAAAGATGGAACCAAGTGTTTTTAGTCATAGTATCCTGTTGTACTGTTTTTCAGCATGAGACCTAATTCAAAATTTTTGTGCTTCTCTGTGTTCTCCCCAATTATTCCAGTTGACTATGAGAGAACACTTGCTTCCCCAGTCCCAAGCTGCTGGGAAAGTTGATATGGACAGTTCCTAATTGGGTGATGCAATCCCACTTATACAAGACCAAATGTATGCACCATCCATTTGGAACACAGAGTTGGGGTGTTAACTGGTAGCATTGTAGTACAGGACATCCCACTGCATTATGAACCAAGCCAGATGAGTCTTGGGCTCATCTTAGAACACAGATCTGGGATGCTACTAGTTGCACCTGATTTTTGTTGCAAGTACCTTACGTATTTCTCCAGTGTGAAATGCCCTAACTTATAGCCATAGACATGCTACACACTCATGCTCAGCTGACTGCTTGTGTGATAATGGACAGTTGAGCAATCTGTAATTCTGCCCAACAAGAGATCTTTATGACAATATATTTTACTGAACCTTAACAAGTATTTCCAGCTTGAAATGGATGTGGTCATGAATGTCACAGTTCATGGACTTTCCCTTTCTAATACTGTTTTCTGAAAGAAGTTCATCTTCGTAATTTTTCTGCACCATCTTCAATGTGGGATTATAGCTCTTTGTTGTGAAGAGGCGAGTAGCATTTCTGAAGTTAACACTTTCCCTTACCTGAAAATGTATTTCTGGTAGATACTCGCCTCACAGCACCACCTCCCCACTACAAGTTAATTTAGTTGACTTCATCAAGAATAATCCTGTGTTTATATACTCATTGTATATACTGCATGGAGGATGTGTCACCCTCCTTTTGGTGAAGGGCTATAGTCTAATGATGATTATATCAAAGGCTGGTGCAATACGCATTGACATGTGTGGAGGTGGGAGCTTTGTTCAAGGTTTGTGCAGGAAATTAGATGACAGTGTATGTGATATAACAGTTCTGTAGTGAAGCAGGGTATCTATCTGAAATATAGTTTCAAGTAAGTAAAATATTAACTTTGCTTTGATGTGGTGACCTTTGGTTTGATTTACTTTCTACCTTATACTATAAGTAGATTTGCAGTAACCCAAGCCAACAAAATTCTAATAACATCAGAATGTTGAATAGTGACAGAGTTTCTAGAACTGGAATGACAAATAAAAAGTCCTAAAATATAGTGTTCTTTTCATATTTGAATTCAACTTTCGTTTAAAGTATTTAGTAAAAAGCAGTGAGACAAGAAAGACTGATTAAAATACATGAGCTTTTTACACTAAGTAAAGCCGCTTTACAGAGTTGGCATTAGTGCTTGTCTGCAGGTCTAGTAAGACAGATTTTATAAAATAAGCACGTGAGCAAACTTTGCTAATTTATGCTCTTGAAATTTTGTATCAAAGTAGTTTTCCATATAGTTTAAATGTACTTGAAAATTATATTTTATTGTTTTAACTCTAATTTCAAACACTTTTAAGTTTATTTTTATCTACTCATACTCATTGGATATAGAAATTTCTAGCATACCATCAACTTTTGAAAACCATCATATTAATTTTTAAGTGTTTTCATTTCCAATTTAGTAAGGAAACAATCAATAACTTTAGTGTATTGGATGACTGTTAGGACCGAATTTTGCTAGCTATAAGACTTCCCTGTAAAATCTACATTGTATGGTTTTTTTTTTAATTTACACAAATATTTTATGATTTATTTGGTTGTTCATAACATTTTATATTTGTTAATTAGATCTGTAGAGATGGTCATTTAATTTTAAATATGTATTGTACTTTATTCCACCTCCAATCTGTAGATACAGCTGTCATGATTTATAACTTTAACAATTATGTGTGTTAGAGGTAACTTGTCTTTAATGCCAAACAAACTGAAGTTGATCATGAGATCGGTGTTCATTGGTGGTGTGTTACTGAGAGGGTATAAAAAGAATAGACCGATTAACTTATGGCCTTTGGTGTTTTATTTGGTATTTCTGTATTGCTTCAATCAGTTACTGCTGGTGTGAATACACTACTGCAAGTAATTGGATACTAGTACAGGTTTCATATACCATTTAGTCTGTGTGGATCAGCATATCAAGTGACTGGGTTTCTAATGTTTTTTTTCTTTCTTTTAGTTCTGACATCTTTTTTATTAATAATAGCTCTGATTACTTTAAACCATTTTTGTAAATTTTTAAACTTGTGAAGATTATTTTACATTGTTGGTTTCATGTATCGATTTAGGGTTAACCTAACTCTTCAGAACTTACTGAACTTCATGAGACATTATTAGAATTACAGCCAACAATATTATTAACAGTGATGGCACTGAACTGCTGATTGAGAACACTTTAATAATTATAGGTTTTACTTTTCTTGTATTAATGACATTGAGTGATTCTAGTTTAACTGGTTAATGGGAGCAACTAGCATTAAATTATTGAACACAGTACAAAGCTTTATTTATATATGTATTTTTAATATGTTTTTTTTTTAAAGGTGAGTGTAGCATTGATTTTGTGTCCCCATTAAGTATATTGTTGAGCTGGTTTCCTGAACAGGATGCACCAACATGCTGAGTTAACACAATGTTTTTTACCAGTCTTAACCAGAACACTGAATACATTATTAGTTGTGAATGGAGGCACTTTTGACGCAAAATGTACCAGCCAATAAAAGATTTGTAAAACAACTATGCAGTAACTGTCATAAACTGAAAGATCTTATTACATTTGATGCTTTTAGAAGTTTCTTTTTATATTTACACGGTTTACACTAATAATTTAAACATTTTACTTTTTAATGTGGAGGATGTAATCAAGTAATTTCATTTGGTTTGTCATTTAGCTGTCCAAGGAAGGTCAAGATGTTTCAGTCCCTCAATTTATCTCTGGAAAAATGGATATTCAAATGCAGTATGTATAAGAAATAAATAGTGCAGTAGTAACTGAGAAGTTCATTTTATTAAATGGTATTTATTTGCCTTTTTTCTTCATGATTAGTATCACACTGGAAATCAAATAGTGTACTTTAGGCAAAAATTGTATTCAACAGGTGAGTTACCAAGATTGTAAGATATATAAAGTTCAAGAGCAGTTGTGTATGAAAAGTAAGTCTCGCCCAAAATATGCAAGAGACTGGACACAAATGCATTTCTCAAGGAAACAAAAATACTTAATTGTTTAACATCATAAATGTGACAGAAAAAGAAATGGCATGTGAAACGTCTGTACAAAGAAGTTTCTGTTTGCACTTGCAGCTGGCTGGTTAATGAATAACAGCAAAATATGAGGCAAGTTTGGTCAACATCTGAACCAATGTCATTCATGTGTATTACCTACTTTTGTAGATGTCTGTATGAGAGGCAGCATCATTTCCAAGTAAGGTGACAAATCAATGTTTCCATAGGTACTACTTGTTTCTGTAGATGTCTGTATGAGATGCAGTGCATGTCAATGGGTTTCTTTCGTCTGTTCGGCACTGTGGCATGCAGGCATACCATATTTTTGCTATACCTTGTTTAATGTATAACTTATCAAAACTTTCATGTAGCTAAATGAAGAATGTTGATCAAGGAAGTAACCAAGTTCCTTTTGTCCTAGTTACCTATTGTTCTGGATCATTTATGTAAGGCAGATATTTTTAACATTAACAAGATACCATTGTTGACAGCCAGTCCAGGCTTTTTCAGCAAAATGGGTGAATGGAACTTACAAATTTGTTGGGCTGCAGGAAATTTCCTTGGGAAAAATAAAATAAAATTTCCGTGGCTTCATACTATGTACAAGCCAGGAAGGGTACCAAAGTAAATGTTTATTTAAATTTGGAAGGTTACAGGAAGTTTTAGAAAAAATTTTGCTTTGTGTTTCAAAAGATGTCTGAGTGTTTGACACTATTTTATTGCAGTTCTCTCATTGTTTTGACACTAGAATTAAATGTAATGCAGTTTTAGTATGCTGACTTCACTGATATTTCATCATTCATATCTTATCTCTCATGCAATAAAAAGCCTTTTTTTTCTAATCTTTTTTTGTAATCTTCAATATTAGTTTAAGTTTTTCAATTTCTCAAATACAGGTAAACTCCTTTAAAATTTATTGTATTTGAACACAATGTGATAAGTCTGGTGAGAGTTCATCACTCAAAAAGTGAGATACCACAACAATATAAGCAAACATTTACTTCAGAATAAAACATACTTGAAAGACATACAATATAATATTTTTTTAACAAGACAAACATGACACATTCTTTCTACATGTAATATTACCCTTTCATCTCCCTCTACTACATTGTCAGCTCCTATTAAAAAATAAAAGAAAAAAAGTACTTATAAATGTATTTCTCATGTTTAGATAAGTCTATACATATAATAATATACTATAAAAAACCAATCTTCAGTATAATTCAATAATTAAAGACATTTAAAATATATTTTTTCAATTTGAACAAAGCTTTAACAGATTTTTATAGATCAATGAAAGAGTATATTTAAGTCTGGACTGCATACGTGGGAACCACAAAACTCTTATAACCCTGGGACTGCATACCTGGGGATCTCAGAACACCTATCAATCTGGATTGCATAAATGGAAAACTCGGAACCCTGAACTGCATACGTGGGAACCACAAAACTCTTATAACCCTGGGACTGCATACCTGGGGATCTCAGAACACCTATCACTCTGGATTGCATAAATGGAAAACTCGGAACCCTGAACTGCATACATGGGGAAGTCAGAACTTTTACAGTTGTTTATTTGAGTAGTGCTTGCTCGCTGTTTTTGGACGAGCACTTACACATCTATATATTATCAGTTGAATGATAGTTCTTGATGTGCAATTGTTTTTTGACAAATAAGTCATTTTCACCCAATAATCAGATTTTGTCATTCACAATCCCTCACTCACACGGATGCAGGGACAGACAGTGGAGATACTTGCTTTTTTTTCTTTATACTTTTATTCTGTATCATAATGAATTGTGAGAACCTGAGTGGTGAAGCTACGGTTGAACTTTTAAACACAGACTACTTAACAGATGAAGAATATAACATACGGATTAAAGAAATGTGACCATACTGAAGGAGCCTGAACACAAAAGTGATCTTACTGGTACAGAAATGATGAACCCAAATTGTCATTACTTTCAATTTCCACTACAAACAGTGTTAGAGGTCAAAATGGATATTGCAAGACACCATGAATAAAGGATCAAGTTTTGTTACACCAAAGATAATATTTTTATTTCTGGGGTTCTACAGAAACAAAATAAACAGATGTGCCACAAAATTTAGAATATATTGTCCAGGGTACAATATTTCGTTTATCTCACAAACAGTTTGCAAATAATCTTTAAAATGTGCTTCTTCGCAGGATACATTATGTTCTAGTGCAACAATATAATCTCTGTAAATAGTTTAATAAACTTTCTTGAGAAGTAAAGAGGGTTCGTTATGTGATTTCAATAGTCAACTAATAAGTTCAGCTAAAATTATCTAAGTTGGTACGAAGAAGTCCCTGTTATTTTTTTTTTCTGAAATACCAACTTTATTTCACTTTCATCCTAATTGCTGATGTTACATACGTACATCTGTATATTGTGTTAATTAACGTTTTATTATGGTAATGTTGCTCACAAATTTAAACTGTCCCTTTTCCAAGTACTTATAGAAGTATTTTGGAACTATTCCCAATCATTAGTACTAAAAATGTCTAGAATAAATGGAAAGGTTACTTCTTAAGGTACTGATAGTGTGCCACAGACTTATAACAATTCATTCCTATTAAGAATATAAAAAGTATTTCTAAATGAACTGATTGTTTGTATATCAGAAAATGTTTAAATTAACATTTTCTTACACTGAAAATGTATTTTTAACAGATACTTTATTTCTTCTCACATAATAGCTTTCCTCAATTTGTGCTGCCCTCTATATGCTTAATTTACACTTCCCACAAGCTTTGAAGCTCCCACCTAACATCACCCATAGCTGTGTTGTAGCATGCAACAACCCTCCACCAATAGGAGTGTGACACACCCTCCTAGTGCAGTTGACTCCCTTTATACCGTAGAGCACAGGCATCACTTCTCGATTTGGCACTCAAGTGTAACAATATGTATTTTTTTCCTTGTGAAATTTTCTGATTTAGGTGTTTACTTCATGTTTGGGTGTGGTCCGATCCCTTGCGAGATGTTTCAGACTATTTACGTGTAGGCTTTCTTCTTTCTCCCTCCATGACTAGGGCATATGTTCCACATTTCGTCTCTGCATCATGTTTTCTTCCATTCCCTTCTTTCTATCCCCCATTTTTCCAAAATTGTTCAGTGGTTGTTAAAACAAGGTTTATCACTTTTGACCATAACTGGTTACTGGGCAGCTCTACCCAATACATTTAGGTTTTCTTACTATTTTCATGTGTTCTACTCCTGTCTTTTCTATGCTTTTTTGTTAATTTTGCCATTTTTCTCCTTCTCAATTTGGACCTGAATACTGTACTCCATGCCCTTAATTCTCCTTTCTTTGACCTTTTAGTCTCTTGTTCCTTGTACCTTCTCCTTACTTTTTGCCTGTGGCAGTAGGAGATGTGATGTGTAAGCCATTGCTGCTTCCTGTATTTTTTTCCTCCAATTTTTCAATATTATTCTCCTTTGGTTCTGAATCCTTTTCTCTGCCCTATCCATGTGGTTTGTTGTTCTTTGGCCTGTTCTGCTCCATTTCATAGTTCATTCTCCCATATATTTATTCTTTGGAATTCCTCATCTCCCCAAGATTTTCTTCTATTATTCTCAAGAAATAGCTACAACACCTCATCCATTTAGCCCATACTTCATTGGATGTAGATTCACATTGACTCTTTCAAGTCTCCTTCGCATATATAACACCTTACTCACTCTCTGGATCTCCACTTCAGTCATCCATTGGAGGAGTTCATGCAAATTGCATATGGACTACACCATTTACTTTTGTTGCACGTTTTCTTCATCATGTGGATACTGACTTCCTCCTATTGCCCTTCTACATACTCCTTACCGGTTCAGAATGAGTAAGTTCTCTTGTATTATATATCTTACCTTGACAGTGGCCTATTTCTACACCTCTGGATTCTGCTCAGTGGCAAGTGATGCCTGTCCAGGAATACTTCACTTTAAATCTGCACCATATAACCTTACAGGTCTATAACACTTGCTGATGAGATGGAATGTTTCACTAGACTGCTAGAGGGTTCCTCCCAATACCTTGCTTCATAAATAAGGCCCGTACCAACTCATAGACTATCATGGGTAAAGCATTGTTGAGATTGCTACCTATCCCCCTGGTCCTACTTGAATAAACTGGGTCTGGTCTGCCTTTCAAAATAGGTTTTTTTGTGGTCACATACTGCACTGTCTTACAGTGTTGTGTTCCTCCAAACTCCCCACTGCATTGTTCCCCCCCTTCCAGTAGAGTACAGGAGTCCTTGCCACTTACCAGTTCCTAGCTGCTGGGGTGGTGGACCATGGAGGCTTCCTTCCGAGTGTGACCACTTCCCCTCAGTTGATAGTAGAGTGGTGGTGTTCTGTTGGTGAAGATGGTGAGTACTCTATTCCTACAGTGGACTGAAAGACAAATTCCCGATGCCTCTTGGTCTTGGATTGGACGAATCCATAACATGCAGTTCACCCCTCCATCTGGCTTTTCCTCATCCTACCACTGCTTAGATGTTGGATCCTGAGTGGCCTAATGTTGTATTGGTGTAGGACCAACATGTGGTTCGTAGGGCTCCTCCTCTTCCTACAGATCGGATAAAAAATTCCTGATGCCATCATGCTTGCATTCTCCCAGATGTTGGTTGTGTACTAGGTCTGCACACATGTGCCCTACCAGAGTTATAGGAACAGAAGTTGCTTTTCCCTTCTGCCTCCTGAGCTTGAGGTGAAGATGGTTAGGACCCTCCTACTATTGTGGACCAGATGACAAATACCCGATGATGTCTGGTGTTGAACTGATTGGATTGGCATATTTTCTACCTGGTTTCACAACATGTTATCTTTACTATGGGTGAAGAGTATACCTGGCACAGTTGGGGTGCAGTCTTCCACGAGTGTGACTCTATACATTAGGGTATTTCACTCCATGGGTTTTCTTTGGGTGTCTTCCAAAGAGTGCTCATCTAGGTAACTTTTGCACCAATCCCTCCACCTTTTCAATGTGGGATTCTAGATATTATGTGAGTGGATGTAAGGTAATGCATCGGAAGTTAACATTTTCCAACTCTGAAAATGTATTTCTGATAGATACTTACTTCCTCTCACACTTCCCACCCATCCTCCCACTTCTGGTGCATCTGCTTTTACATAATCTTGTTGTGCTCTACCGTATAGAGGGGAATCAAAGCTAGTGGGAAGTGAAAACTGAGCATATAGTGAACAGCACAAATTGAGAAAAGCTATTAAGTGAGAAGAAGTAAAGAATCATATTGGAAATGCTTTTAATGAATCATAGGAAAAAAGTTTTCTGGTAATATTATTCAGAAAAAGTGAAAAAATACACATGCAGGTATATATAGGTCTGAACATGATATATATACATTACAGATTTCTTTTCACCAAAGGTAAAACTGAGATATAGAGGCCTAATACATTTTTTGATTTGCTGTAACCTCTGCTGTGGACTGCAGTTTTGCCTATTCTTGGCTCATCAGCACAGCTTGGGTCAGCAAACCAAAGAAATACAGCAAGGCTTCTTATAATGGTATCATTTATGGCAAATCACATAGTATGTTAAGCCTCTCATTTACAGATCAATTAACTAACTCCCATGAGAGGACACTATAATCACTTTGTCTGTGTAAAAGCTATCATTCAATGTATTCTTACAGTAGTTTGGCTATTTCAGACTGTAAAATAGACAGCAATTGTGATTTCTGTTATCCTACACAGAAATATATCATTCTATAAAGATGTGTAAAACTCATTTTACTTTGACTCTTTACAATTAACATCCTTATTTTGTCCACAAGAGGAAAGCATCTACATCCACATCTACCTTTCCTTCAAATTACTTACTGACCTACCAAAGTCTTGTAAACTTTTATAGCACTACAAGAACTCCCTTTTTTTCTTACATATTGACTTTTGCTTTCACAATGATTTTATCTAAACTGTATTTGTACACTTATAACAAACAAGTTTATGGTGAAGCTCTAATAGATTTATCTTGACCTTTTAAGATAAGCTTACAGCACATAATAAGTTTGACAAATCAAGAGAAACCATGATGTGATTTTTAGCAGCTAATGGTAAGTGAAACTTACAAGAATTCAAAAAATATTAAAGATATTTTTAAAATGCTGTTTTTCTTTCAAATTCAGGTAAAAAATAAAATTAATAGTTTTTTTCATTATAAAACTTTATGCATATATTTAATAAAATTTAGATAATTATACAATAAAGAGAAAAGCAAAGTACAAAAAACTTTTCTATACATACAGTTCAGATATGCAGAATCTTTTAGGATCTGTAATGCTGGGTTAGGCCTACTTCTAGAACCAATATTTTGTACAATGTTTTATTGTACTATATATTTAAATAAATAAAAAAAAAAGAGAGAAAAAAACTAACAAAAATATACCTTTCTGATTGATCACTAAAATACTTAAATGTCAGAGAAAAACCATTTCCTCAAATTCTGGATGTTATTTTTCCAAACAATTAAAGATAAAAATATCAGTTGCCATAACGTTTTGTTACTCACCATGATTGCATTCACAATGTCATTATTATTGTTTTTAAGTGCTCGAACAGCTTTCGGTCTGGACACATTAGCCTGGGACATTACCAAGTCAACGTCTTTACTTTCCACACCACTATCATCAACCTGTTTCAAAATAAAAGTATTATCCTTACGTATATTTTCAATGTTAGTAAACATTTTTTAAACTATACCATCATTTTAAAAATAAAACAAAGCCTTTAGTAAAAACTGTGACTATTACATTACAGTAATACAACTATGTCTAATACCAACGTAAGTCTATAAGACCCAGGTTCCTGATTCATTGCACCTGTTGTATAATTTGTTATACTGCTTTGTAAAAAAAAAAAAATTACTGCAAGAAATAGTATGAATATTAAAATTAATTTTTATAGATTATGTAGCTTTTGTCAATGAAGTATTCTATGTTATATTTGTATGAATTTGCAGTTTTGAAATTGAGAAAATCTCATCATGATGTGTTTTTAAAGAAACAATTAAAAATGTTTACCTTTGTTGTAGATTTTAATTAATGATTTTAATTTTTCTACATTAGTTTTAAATTTTCCTATAAAGTTTTATTTTATAAAACTGTAAATTTACTTTCGTTTCAATTCAAAGAATAACGTATGTAGTTTCACTGTGTTTACAATCACTGGTGTTAACTTTTTTACAATACCAAAATTATAGTCAAGCTGACTTTTTAAAGATTGTTAATAAGGAGATTTCATTTAATATATATATATATATATAATTAGTTTTAAATCCTTTTACGTGATATATATATTTCTTTGTTTGTTTGTTCGGAATTAAGCACAAAGCTACACAATGGGCTATCTGTACTCTGCCCACCACGGTTTCTAGCATTGTAAGTGCACGGAAATACCGCTGTGCCACTGGAGGGCGTATATATTTCTTTAACAATTTGTTTTGGTGTATTTCTTTGCCCATTCTTAGGCCTAATGCAAACAAGGCCTAACACAGTGGCCTTGCCAGTGAAACAAAACACTATTCAATTATATGCTGTTGAAGTCTCTTCCATGAAGCTCATTTTCATGGGTGCTAAAGTACCAGAGGAGTTACCAGTGATACAACTTTAACAAATTAATGAAAAGAAACTAACCTCTTCCTCAGACTCCTCTTCAATTGGTTGGGAGACTGTTGTTTGTGTGGGTTCTCCTAATGCCATTCCAGCCTCAGGTGTTTTAAACTTTTCTGCTGCTGCCATCTGTGCCTGCTGGCTCAGATCTTCAATCTGTAAACATATTTAAATACCTATGTTATGAAAACTAAAAGGATTTTTCTTTTATAAATGTCAAGGTCATGTTTGGCAAAATTAATAATGATTGGTTTTCTTAATTAATAAAATTATATGTGAAAGTTATTATATTATATTATTTATATTATAAAGAAAGCTGGAGAATTTGTGGTATTTGGTGAAAGATTAATTGATTGCCCCCATTAACAATCAGTAGAATGAACCTCAAACAACAATACCTACAGTTAAAAGAAAAAAAAAGTTGGTAATGGGTGCTGCAGTTGGCTTCTCTTAGTCAGCAGTTCAAAACTACTAACAGTGGCAGGTAGTTTTTCCATAACGAAGACAGGGCAAATAAGTTAGGTCACAATAATTCAATTACTTAGATAATTGGAATAATCAAAAATAGTAATAATTGTAAACCTTAATTTCAATTTGTTGATTATTTTGAGAAAATAGATTTAATTGTAATTTTGATAAAACATTTGTTTAAATAATGAAAAAGTCAGTAATAACTGAAAATACTCATTTTGATTAGTTATTTATTTTTGTGCCAATCGATATAACTGGATTTTCAATCAATTGATTAATTTACACGACACTCATCAATATAACGGCTAATCATAGGGGATCGACTATACCAATTAACTGATTAAGTCGCTCAACCGTACTTAAAGATTTAGCACACATCAAATATTAAATTTTGAAGTACTGATAAAAGGGGCCAAACAAACATGATTTAATTCCACAAATGTTATAATGTTTCCTCCCATTCTCCAAGAAAACAGATCAGAAGTGTTTACAAAAACAGAAACCTATAATACGATGAAGGTGATAAAATAAACATCTGCAATCAAAGTGAATTATAATCATTTATGTTGTGCATAACAAGTCTCTTCCTCACCTGCTTTCTCATCTTACACCACAACAACATTATGTGTTTAGCATTACATATAAATAGCATTTTAGAGAGACATTTGGCTGCCATAGGTCCAGCTCAGCTGGTGGTTTCTTGTATTCTTGACAAGAATCTCCACAGCAGTGATTCATGGCAGAAAGAATATCTATAAAGTGCTGTTTTTAATTAAGTTTGAATTGAAATGTCATTACATAAACACACCAGTAGATAAGTGTTACTTTTCTTTTAGAGCTAAATCAATCTGCCTACAAAACTAAATAAAATATGCTTCAAAAATTAAAAAACAATGAAAATTGGACTGGTTTGCTTACAGTTTCATCTGGTAATGTTTTTAGAAAGGAAGTTATAAAATAGTAATTTGGTCATTACCTTTACTATCGGACCTTACTTCTATTCTTCCCTCATCCCATCTCAACTTAGAGAAACATATTTTACATCAATATTTTACTATTAAATTTTCTTCATATTATGTTGCTCAAATGCTTCTGATGAAACATCTTTTTAAAAAGTTTTCTCAACCAGAGGCCATCTAGGTAGAAGTCTTATAAAAGATCTCATTTGTTGTATAATCAGACCAAGTTTTTTTTCCTAAATCCATGACTAATAACAATAAAACATTTATTAGTGATGATTAAAGAAACTCGTACCTTAGCTTCACCAAACATAATATATGTATCTGATGCTGGACTTTTATAAACATCAGGTTTGCTTATGACAAACAAAATGTTTTTAGACTTCCTTATGGTCACTCGACTCACTCCTTGAATTTGTTTCAGTCCTAATCTTGACATAACCTTTCTTGCTTTTTTCTCACTTCGACTCTGTTTGGCCTTGCTGACCATTTCCTCTGTAATACCAGCAGCCTGGGCCATCTGTTAAAAATGGAAGTTTTTATATTCACATGACTATAAAATATATTTTTAACTCTTACTATATGGGGCAACAAAAATACAGAAACACAGTACTGTAAATGACTCAATTTTGTTTTTAACTTAAATCTTTTTTGTTCTTACAAATGTATGTAGAATAAAAAAAATTAATTCTGTCTAAGCTCATGAGATATGTTATCATCAGATCACAAACATGTTTCTGCTAATTACATAGTTTTAACACATGTGGCTATAAAATAAAAAATAACCTCATAAGATGAAACTTGTCTAATTTCTTAAAGGAACACTGTTAAAAAAAAAAGTGAGTCAAAATATATGCTAACTTTCTTATGAAAATAATTCATTTACTGCATACAAATTAAGACTTTGTTCATGCCAGATACCAATCCAAATGTTATGATTCAACACTGATCAAAAAATGTTTAAACCTAGTCAAAATCCAAGTATTATATCATTATCTGGTTAACAATCCTTTATTAGTTGAGATTTGATTGATGCATTGTGGTGGAAAATATTTTTTTTTTTAATATTTTATTTATTATTGTTTGTAGCTGCTTTTGTTTCTGTTTTTCTTAGGCTAATTCTGGGATTACTGGTTTTGTTTAATCATCCTGGATATACTATTATCCTGGAATTTTGTGTAGCCCTTTCTCAGTTTACCAAAAAGGAAGTCCATGTCTTTCAGGACATCAATTTTGGAAGTCCCATTAAAAAACTCGAATGTCTCAGAATGCTGTATGTTACGCTAATTGTCATCGTAACAGTGCAACTTTATTACAGGGCATGTGTCAAACCACATTATTTGGACTGTTTATCTGTGTGTGAAATGTTGAATCTAAAAGTGTTACAAACAGTGCCAATACATTCCAAACATGTAAAAAAGTTACAATAACAGCTGAAGGATAACAGTCTACGCTAATGGTAGAGATTGACTGGGACCAAAGGATGGACATCCCAGCAACTTTCAGAGATTAAATTTCGGGCATCCAAAGGTAAATTCTTCACATATTAGTGCTAGGCAACTAGTGGATTTGCTAATCAATTAATTGTCAGGTACATTAATCAGTTATTCTCAAGAGACTAATCTTCCTACTTCCAACTTGCTTTGGACTTGTAGTCTGGTAGTTGCAAGTTCAAGGCTTGCCAGTGTCATGCCGTCATGTCCTTGAGCAAGACACTTTACCCCACTCCTTCTAGTCACTTCAAGGCTGGCCATTGTCATGCTGTCGTGTCCTTGAGCAAGACACTTTACCCCACTCCTTCTAGTCACTTCAAGGTTGGCCATTGTCATGCTGTCGTGTCCTTGAGCAAGACACTTTACCCCACTCCTTCTAGTCACTTCAAGGCTGGCCATTGTCATGCTGTCGTGTCCTTGAGCAAGACACTTTACCCCACTTCTGCTAGTCACTTCAAGGCTGGCCATTGTCATGCTGTTGTGTCCTTGAGCAAGACACTTTACCCCACTTTTTTCCAGTCTACCCAGCTGTTAGCTGGGAGTTAACCTGCAATGACTGGATTACCATTCTTATCCACTTGTGCAACTTGGAATCAGAGTCAAAAGCACCAGCCTTATGGTTCTTCACAAAGACATGACAAGAAATTAACTTACTTTAACTAAACACACTTTCAAACAATCTTTCATTTAATATGGTGAACTTCCTCGAGTACAACATTTTACAACTGAGTTACTTATTAAAATCTAATCTGTTGTACATGAAAACATATCACATACACATTGTAGAACAATCCTGTAACAAGCTGAAAATACAATTACCATTTACTGGCTTTCTCCCTACACATTTTCACAATACTACTCTAATAAAACTAAAAAAATAACTCTCCTTATAATGAATGTGATTGAGAAGTTGATAATAAGAACCAGAGTTTAGAAGGAACTCATTAAAATGATTAATTTGCTTACATTTTAAGGAAGAAACTACAGAAACACACATGCATGCTGAGATACCAATAAGTCAAATATCTTAAAACCTACTGTACTAGGCAGCATTTAAGTAGCAAGTGACAGCTGCCAGATCTTTGTTTTCCTCTTTCAGTGCTTCCTGTCTAGCTAGAGACAGTCATAATTAAAAAGAAGTTCTTCTCATGTAAACAGATTAATGACTTAATGGTATTACATTCTGTTAGACTGTTAATAGTTCAAGTTATTTAGCAATCAATATTTTTTTGAGCACATAAAGAATAATGAGTATTAGCTTGTAATTTCTTTATTTAAGCAATCTCACCACATGTAAAACTGGTTTAATATGCTTGTAGATTTTAATAAGTAAACAACACATATAAAGTTACAACTACACTATTATTTAAACATACAAACTGTCATCAGTGTGCTAGTAATGTAACTAAAGGCCATCAAGCCATGCCTTTACATTTGTGACTTGTGTTCAAGCAGGACTCAGGCGTACTGTCACTTGAAGTCATGGCAATACAAGTAGTAACAGCTAATATTTTAATTACTTGGATAGTTGGAATTATCATAAGCATTGATTTCAATTAGTTATTTTCATGAGTTGTGACACAATTGGGTCAAACTATAAAACCTTGAATTAACTGAAAATAATAATGAGAAATCATAATGATCATATTTTGATTACTTGTATAGTTGGAATAGTCAAAACTATTAATACTCAGAAACAGTAATTTTGATTAATTGATTATTTTTATGTGACATCGATTGATGCTGTTAGGTTACTGACTAATGAGCCAACCCCAGAGCATATAATACACTGGGACATCCATTAATTTAAGCAATATTTGTTAGAAACTTTTTTTCTACCTACTATTAAGTTCTTTCTGTTTTTGTTTTTATTATTTCAACTCCAGATGTTTGATTTTTGTCTCTTTTTCAAATAATGTACTGAAGCTTTTAATTTAAATTTTCTGGACTGGACACAGGCGTAATGAAAAATAATTTTTACAAAAGTCTGCAAGATTTTATATTCTAAGAAACAAACAAGCACTGTCCTACCAGGCTTATTTGTTCTGCTTGCAATAGTAGAAATACTGATGTATCCAACAATGGGCCTAGTCTGGTTGAGACTCACCCAGCCTCATCCAAACTTTTGTATGTGGCTAATCCACTGATGAAAAGTAACAACAACAATAAAAACTACAGTGTTTTGTTACAATCATTTAGGTGGACATTACCTGCGATTGACCAGATGTTTTATTTTCTATGGCTTCTGGCTGATTTTCATGCTCAGGAATTGATTCATCACTTTCAGACTCTGTTCCAGATCCACTAGCTGAGAAAAATTACTTGCACTAAGTTTGATTTATTCCAGAAGCAGCAGAAAAGTTTCAAACTATGGTGCAAGACTACTTTGTTAAAACAAAATGAGAACCATTGTATTTTACTTCTTCTTAGAAAAAGTAATATACATATTAATATATTTTAGAAAAAATAAAATAATTACTAGTTTAATGTGTTACTACACTAATTTTATGCAAAATGCCATGTGTTGTTTCATTAATGGGCAACTATATAAAATTTCACATAATTATAATTTACTGTAGTTTACTTCAAAAGATAAAACACAACCTCAAATGTAGCTTTAGAAAACCTATAAGATGGACTATGCTACTACATATTAATTATAATACAACGTGCCTTCTTCAGTTTTATTCTCCACCTTATCTTGCACAGTTTCTACATCTGCTGTGCTTACTTCAGGCATTTTTGGGGGTTGTTTTCTTTCACAGCTCTCTATAAAACAGAATAAATATTACTGTGTTGTTGTTTTTCTAGTTGTGAACAATAACATCCCACTAGATTAATAAGTTCTTTTAAAAACTATTTAATTTCTATAAAATAAAGCAAAAAAATCTTTAAATCGATATTTTTTTCAAGTATAAATGTAACATAAATAAAAAAAAAAGTTCTCACCAAAGCATCCAAAGAATACTACCAATTAGGGAGCTATATATATATATATATATATTATTCATACATGAAGACTATGAAGGAAGTGGGAGAACTTGTAGTATCATAGTATAATACCTTGGTGAATTGAAATTAAGTAATTCAAATAATATTTTCTACATATATAAGTATATATATATCTATATATCTATCTGACATTAACATAAATTACATGACTCTGTTCCTTCTTAGAACATTAGGGTCTTACTGATATCTGATTTTTAAGACCAATGAGAAAGACTAGTTTACAAACTAAATGTTAAATTGCTGTTGTTTTGGAAAACAGATATTCTTTTTATTTTAAAGGCAAATATTTAAGTAATTTAAAAATATTTTAGCACTGTCACTTAAAGTTCGAAAAACATTTTTTTTGTATTTCAGTAAACAGAATTATATTATTGCTCACATCTAATTATATCGTTTTTTGTACTTTGAAAACTATAGCTTGAAGAACAACATCAACAAAAATTTAAATTCATGGAGGCAAATTAAACTATGGCTTCTGAATCACAAGAAATGAATAAACATCTACACGGAGGCAGCTGAATCCACTGAGGTTAATTCATAAATATGTCAAATACAAATTCAGAATACATTCAGAGGTTAAATACAACAGTCTGGTTTAACAATAACATAGATTATATATATTTCTTCCTTAAAAATTTCATTACTTATAGATTCACTGTTAGTTTGTTTTGATGTTGGTTTGTAGGATCTGATTTTAAACAGAAAATTACCTTTATTACTACAGTGTATCAAATAAAACAGTGTTTGTTTTTATTGCAACATTTCATTTCTTTATAGTTAACAATTGATGACTAATCATAAAATCAATTAAATGGAATTTGACTGAAATTTGTTAATTATAAATACATTTTTTTAAATCAAATTACAACCTTTCAACTACGAAAATTTCAAAAAATATTGGCATACTAAAACCATTTTTACGTCAGCAGATAATTTTGGTTTATAATTACTTTTAACATTTTAATATCTGAAGACTGTAGAAATGATTGTATGTTCTTGCTAAAAATTAGCCACTCCTGTTTATTATTTTGCTTGAGTTTCTTTACTTTCATAACATTAAAGAAATTATCAATTTACAACTGATACCTCCACACCTACCCCAAAAAAAAGACACACAAGGTAATACAACACATCAGATAACAATGATTACATATTATAAATTTGTAATCAGTTTTATTCTACACCTACAAATATTGCAATGTGAAGAATCCCAAAAGTTTGAGGTTGGAGATGAGTGTATTTCCCCTCTTGAACTTAACCAAATATATATTAGACATAACAATATATTAATCTCACAAATTAGAAAAAAGCAAATCATCAAGATTAAATTTAACTTTGCTTTAATCTTAAAATCCAAAAAAAATCAATTATGAACACAGTTATTTTTAGTTAGTTTCTGATCAAAGGTAACTACAAACATCTTAGCTAAAACATAACTTATACATTAATGAAAGCAGTTCTGTTTAAAATGACAAGAAATATACAGCATCATAAACCAGTACATTAGAAACCTATAACTTACGATTATAGTACATTGAATCATTGGTTAGATACCCTTGCTGTTAACATCACAGATGGAGAGAGATTAAGTTCTCAAGTCACAGAGATCATGAAAAATTTATTATATCTACAATTTATATACTTTAAAAAAAATCTTTGATACTTTGGATGAATGTATCTAAAGACATCACAATCTCTCAAAGGCAGTTGATGAAAGAATTACACATTAGTATGAGGAGTTAGAAAAATAAAACCAGCTTTTCATAAACAACCAATAAATTGGTAACTGACCAATTTTCATAGTGCACAACCCTACTTCTAGTTTTAGTGATACATCCTAAAACTTTAAAGTGACTATGGCACAGAGTTGGCTTCAGGAGAGCTGTCATTTTATAAATGTCATCATATCTATTATTAGGAATCATTTAGAAAAATAGTTTAAAACAAGATTTTATTAAAATAACAGCATGATTTTATGATAACATTTTAAAAATTACAAAGAGCTTGCTATAGTTCTTTGATAGTTAAAATTTCTATACTTTTGGATGTAGTTAATCCTGTACATGTTATCTTGACTAAAAAGATTGGATAAGATTACTCATATTTGCTAAAGTATAGAAAACATTTTATTTCACTGCAGTGTTCATAATAATACATAACTTGGATAAGATACTCGTGGAGAACATTCTAAGTTTGGTTTAACAAAGTAGATAATGGTACCTTGAATATTATGAAGTGCTGAGTATCAGCTTACAAGTTCCCCAAGTCTTATAATTGTTAACTTGTGGAATAGCGTGGCTATATACTTGTGCCAATAGTTTTAACTACTACTAAGTTTTTGTTGGATAAATATATTCAAGTGAGTATTTGCACAATTTAGATGGGATGGTTCTTGTTACTCCATGACAGGGGACCAGATTTAGCTTTACTGAATAAACCTGTTTTCCATTTTCTAGCTCTTATGATGACCCCTGAAGGTTTAACAAAATCAGGTATCTAACAAGTTTTCAAGACATTCAAAATACTCGTACCTTTATAAAACTTATTACAGTTGCTAATTATTAGTAATAAAGTATTTTAACCCAAAAATTTCTTTCTTTTAGGAGTTTAGCTGGTTTCTAAAATGTAGATCCAGACTCAGTACAATCCTAAAATACATAGTTTTTATTTCATGGTAATTGAGTAATAATTTTACAGAAATACACAAATATTTGAGGGTTATCAAAAATCAAAAACTGTTTGAAACGTTGAAAAATGGAAATATTTACTGCAAAATATGAGCTAAACATAATATTATGTACGTCTCTTGTGGAAGCTTGGAATTTTCGATGCCATCAAAATGTCTTTATTCTTAATATTTTTGTCCAATTTCAATTATATATTATACATATTCCATAGTTCAAAGATTGTCATATCTTTATCATGATATATTGATTACTAAGCTACTATTACAACTGTTAATGTTGGAATGTATTTTTTGGTCCACATTTCATAACATCTTGAGAGGCTGTCCAAGTCTGCAATTTGCTTTAGTCAGACCACCAAAGCTTTCAGAATTCTACATAATAAAAATTAATATGAAGCCTTGCAGTACTATTTGTAGATTAATATGTTCCTTTCCTTGTTATGAACCATGATAAAACCTTCTTATTAAGTTATTTATCAATTATTAAAATAGTCACAGGCTTTCATATTATTATTACTAGAGTAGAAAGACGAGTATAGAATTAGTAGTGTCTTACTTTAATGTTATTATTACTTAAGATTAAATTACTTGGTTATGATCATCTCTGCAAGCAGCAAAGATGCAGTAACGAATTGACTTACATAAGCCTAACACTAACAATAACATTTGAAAAAGTCCAAATTCTAGCACTACACTCACTAGCAAACCCATACATCATGAAATTTGATATATTGTTGTGGCTTTAGAATTCATGGCTGGTTGAAAACAAAACTATATAATTATCATAGGTACCCTTAAAAGAGACAGATCTTTCACTGACAGTACAATACGCGAATGCAAAATTACACAACTAATCCCATAAAATTCAAATATTACATTACCATAAATAAAACAACTACCTACTCACGTTTCAATATTCCTGATAAAATAGTACATAGCCATCTACCGGAATAATTGATTTGATATAGCCTCTAAATATTCAGTGATTTACAGTTGTTGAATAACAATTCTCAGTAGCATTTATTTTAAATATTAATTGTGCGTTTCATGACGTAATGTCCCCGGCGGCTCAGCGGTAAGTTTAAGAGCTTATAACGCTAAAATCGGGTTTTGATACCAGTGGCGTAGCAAAAGGGGGCAGTCGCCCCCAGGCGCAGGTGTGAAGGGGCGCAAAATTTCCTCTGGCCTATAATGCCTATTAACTAATAATTATGCCCTCCCATAGGATATAGCGCAACTGCCATACGTTAAGTAAATACGACACAGTGTTACGTTATGCGTGTGTAGTACGTTTGCAGTTTTAACTTTTAAAAGCCGCCCACTGAAATACAGTGAGACCGAATTGACGTACAGAAGTAAATTATACTA